GTTTCACTCTTGTTGCCCAGGCTGGAGTGCAGTGGCATGATCTCAGCTCACTGCAACCTCTGCCTCCCAGGTTCAAGCAATTCTCCTGCCTCAGCCTCCCTAGAAGCTGGGATTACAGGTGTGCACCCCACACCTGGCTAATTTTTGTATTTTTAGTAAAGATGAGGTTTCACCACATTGGCCAGGCTGGTCTCAAACTCCTGACCTCAGGTGATCTGCCTACCTCAGCCTCCCAAAGTGCTGGGATTACAGGCGTGAGCCACCAGCCCCAGCGCAAGATAAAAATATCACTCTAACTCTGTGGCCTGCCTTTGGGGCATCTCCAACCTGCTAACCCAAAATAAAGTAAGAAAGAAAATGTATCCACCTTCCTTGCCTCCAGGCACAAATCATTCTTTTACTTCCTTAAATATTCACAAAGATACATGAGGTGCTCCAAAGAATCCTCTCACAATGCCTTGAGAACAAGCATCTCCTACAGGCAGTGAGGAGCCCTGCACCCAGAATCAGGCATCCTGTCCTAAGAAGCATCCCTCCAGGACACTGTCCACAACCATCAGGGATCACCCTCTGAAACCAGAGTCAACACACAGGCCTGCGTTAAGAAATTGGAAAGTGGATACTGTGTTAAGATACTGGATACCGGGGCTGGGCACGGTGGCACGTTGGGAGGCCAAGGCGGGCAGATCACAAGGTCAGGAGTTTGAAACAAGCCTGACCAACATGGTGAAACCCTGTCTCTACTAAAAATACAAAATTAGCTGGGCATGGTGGTGCACACTTGTAATCCCAGCTATTCAGGAGGCTGAGGCAGGAGAACTGCTTGAACTCTCAAGGTGGAGGTTGCAGTTAGCCGAGATCACGCCACCACATTCCAGCCTATGTGACACAGCGAGACTTTGTCTCAAAAAAAAAAAAAATACTGGATACTGGAATTCTTTTCCACAGTGTAGTGGTTTAAAAAAAAAAAAAAAAATAGAAAAGAAAAAAAAGGTACTGGAACTGGCTGACCATAGTGGCTTGTGCGTATAATCCCAGCACTTTGGAAGACTGAGGTGGGAGGATCACTTGAACCCAGGAGTTCAAGACCGGCCTGGGCAACATAGTGAGACCCCATCTCTACAAAAAATACAAAAATTAGCCGTATGTGGTTGTGCATGCCTTTGGCCCCCAATACATAGGAGGCTGAGGCGGGAGGACTGCTTGAGCACAGGAATTCAAGCCTGGGCAACAGCGTGAGACCCTGTCTCAAAAACAAACAAAAAAAGATATCAGAGCTGGTTACTTTTGATCTTAGCAGATATGATTCTGGGCTGGAAATACAAGTGAGATAACCAAACAAGAAACTATTCATGACATGATAGGGTTAAGAGCAAACAAACTGCAGCAATGCTCACAGCGTGATTCAGGGTGCCCAGCCTACATTTCTCTTGGATAATTTTCAGCCAGCAGCTCTGGCATTCCTCCTCCCCACATTCACAGATAATTCAAACAGCAGCTCCTCTGGGGCAGCACTCTGCGCGTGGCACAACCCGTAGCTGCCAGACACGGTTCTTCCAGAGCTTGGATCTGGCTACAGAGACACATCAATTCAACACCCACATAAGACAAGAGTAGCAGTCAAAGGCAGATACATTGTGGAAAAGAATTTGGAAGGAGGGGATGTTCAGCACCCCCAGCATGAAGGGGTAAGACTTTGGGAGAAATGGCACAGGCTCAGTTGCTCAGGCCTGCTCCCAAATCTTTGGGAGGCCAAGGCAGGAGGATCACATGAGGCCAAGAGTTCGAGACCAGACTAGGCAACATAGTGAGACCACCGTCCCTACATAAAAATTTAAAAACCAGCAGGGCGTGGTAGCGCGCCTGTGGTCCCAGATACTTGGGAGGCTGAGGTGTGAGGATCGCTTGAGCCCAGGAGGTCCAGGCTGCAATGAGCTGTGATCCTGCCACTGCCCTCCAGCTTGGGCCACAGAGCAGCACCCCATAAATAAGAATAATAAAATAGGCCCGGCGTGGTGGCCCACTCCTTTAATCCTAGCACTCTGGGAGGCCCAGGCGGATGGACCACCTGAGGTCAGGAGTTCGTGACCAGCCTGACCAATATGGTTAAACCCCATCCCTACTAAATACAAAAAAATTAGTCGGGCGTGATGGCACATGCCTGTAATCCTAGCTACTCGGGTGGAATCGCTTGAACTCCGAAGGAGGTTGCAGTGAGCCGAGATCACGCCATCGCACTCCAGCCTGGGCAACAAGAGCGAAGCTCCGTCTCAAATAATAATAATAATAATAAAGACTTTGAAAGAAAGAGCTGGTTGGGAAGAAATAAGCCAAGCCTTGGGTCCTCCCTGTCCCTCCCCACTAGGGCCTCCCGAAGCTGCCCCGATCAAGGCACCTCCTGGACGGGCCTGGCCGGAGCTTTCCCTGCAGACTGGAGCCTGGTAGAGGAACGCGGAGTGCAGCAGGCTCAGGAGGGACAACAGGCCGCCCGGGACTCGGGGGAGGTGGGGGTGGGACGGCGGCCCCACACATAAGAGGGTAAGGGAGGGTCAGGGGAGGAGACCGAAGATCATGGGACAGCATAAACTTCAGACAGCTCCGCGGAGGCGGCCTTACCGCCAGCCTCTGCCAACCGGCAGGCGCTCGGCTCCGGCACCTCCTGGGCGCGCCACCAGACTTCCTGCGAGCTCGTGACGTCAGCGAGGCGCCCTTGCTAGGCCGACTTCCGGCGGAAGCGCGCGAGGGCTGCCGCGAGTTGCAGTGCTGGACTTGCGGTGACCTCCCCGGTGTCCTCGCAGCCAGCCTGGGGACCTCCGTGGCCGGGTGTAACCGCTGGGAAGTGCGATTTTATTTTATTTATTTTATTACTTTTTTTTTTTAATTATGTATTCATTCATTCAAAAACAGCCTCGCTCTGTCGCCCAAGCTGGAGTGCAATGGCGCTATCATAGCTTACTGCCTCAGCCTCTCACGTAGCTGGGACCACAGGTACATGCCATTACACCCGTCTAATTTTTATTTTTTGTAGAGACGGGGATCACCCTATGTTGCCCAAGCTGATCTCGAAACTCCTGGGCTCAAGCGGTCCTCCCACCTCGACCTCCCAAAGTGTTGAGATTACAGGCGTGAGTCCCTGAACTGGGCTGAAAATGGGATTTTAGAGCAGTATTGCCAGGAGACTTACAGGAGGACCGACCTGGGCCTGGTGGGGGTGGCAACGCTGGGGCTGTGACGGACTAAGCTGCCCTGCGGCCTGGGCAGAGCCCAGTCATGTCCCAGCTCAGCCTAGCAGGGGGATCCGAGTGGCCCAAGGCAGTCACACTTAGGGGTCTGTGAAACTGTGTCTGCGTGGTGGACGGAGTTTGCTTCCAGCCACCGACACTGTTGGGATCTAGCTGAACAGTTCCAGCATCTTCCGTTGCAGAAGCGGCAGAAAGTACAATGTGTACCCATCAGTCAGATTCCGCTTAACGTGTGTCCTTGCTCCCGATGACAAGGACATCTTGCTCTGTACAGCCCTGAATATCCTCTCCCTGGGGCAGTGAAAATGCTTGACCACAAACCTTGAGGATAAAAGGGAAGGCTGTTTGATGCTAGGCAGGCTTGGGGTAACAAGAGCTGCTTCCAAACATAGCCCTAAGAAGGCCCTGTGGGGTGTCCTTTGCTCTGACCGTCTCTGAATCAGCTGAAGCCAGGGTCTATTCTTGATACCTCTGAAGGCCTGAGCCAGGCCTGTCCTCCTTTGAGGGGAAATGTCTGATCTCCAAACACTGGCCTTAAAACTCTTCTCTTTTCCTGTCTCTTTGCTACAGCTTCTTGATGTCTTGTCTTTTCCTTTTTGAAAAAACTGCTTACCAACAGGAAGCCTTCTCCTACTATGCACATTGTATCCAAGGTCTTCATACATTTATGGACACAGAATTGAAAAAGCAAGGCTCATGCCTGTAATCCCAGCACTTTAGGAGGCCAAGGTGAGAGGATCACTTGAGCTCAGGAGTTTGAGAACAGCCTGAGCAACATATGGAGACCTTGTATCTACAAAAAATTTAAAAATTAGCCGGGTGTGGCATGCATATGTGGTTCCAGCTTCTTGGGGGGCTGAGGTGGGAGGATTCTTTGAGCCCGGGGGATCAAGGCTGCAGTGAGTTAGGATCACACCACTGCACTCCAGCCTGGGCAACAGAACAAGACCCTGTTTCAAAAAAAAAGATGAATCTCTTGGCAGTTAGTCAGTTCCTGAAACCTAGGTGTGTTTGATTTTTAGCTTCTTTAAAACCTCCAAGCACAAACCTTGATATCTGCATTTTATAAATAGCGTAGGAGAATAGAGAGTAAGCTTAAAACCAAAAACTTAATTCAGTGTGATCAAAAGGATTGCACTGATTATGACACATGGAGCAAATAATTCCTCTTTGGAGTGTTGCTAACCCCTCCTGTCAGCTCCTGAAACTGGACCTGCAGTATCAGTTTTTTACCTGCTGCGAGATCAGTTGACAGGATCAACCAGCTTTACACCACCATCTCTTGTCCCCAAGGGAATGATGGATGTATAGTTTGGAAATAGGATACAGGACTTCGTAGCTACTCTTGCAAAAGGCACATTACACATGATGCTTCTTTACAATTAGTGATTTATTGGCCATGAGGAATTTTGCCATGGAGAAATTAAGAAGAAAAGGAACATAAAAGTATTTCTGAGCTGGGCACGGTGGTTCACGGCTATTCCCAGGAGGGAGTCTCCCTTGAAGCCAGGAGTTTAAGACAAGGCTGAGTAACCTAATAAGACCTTGCTGCTACAAAAATTTTAAAATTAGTTAGGTGTGGTGGTGTACAACTGCATTCTCAGCTACTTGGGGAGGCTGAGGCAGGAGGATTGCTTGAGCCCAGGAATTTGAGGCTTTAGTGAACCATGATTCTGCCATTGCATTCCAGCCTGGGCAATAGAGCAAGACCTTGTCTCAAAAAAAAAAAAAAAGGACTGGGTCTGTGTTGGCTTACCATTATATCGGTAGTAACTATTTTAGCACCTAGCTCATGGTAGATGCCCAAAAAAATGTACCAACTGAATGAAAGAAAAGGATAAATTATATCAGAAGGAAATATACATCCTTGTTCTCACCCAAGAAAAATTCCTGTAGCCAGCAGGTGGGGCCTGTCTTGGAGTATAATGTATGGGTGCCCAGTTTACACCCAAATTTCCTCTTTGCCTTTGCTACTGTGATTGCTGCTCCCACCTTTTGAGATAGAGTCTTGCTCTGTTACTCAGGCTGGAGTGCAGTGGCGTGGTCTCTGGTAACGGCAACCTCTGCCTCCTAGGTTCAAGTGATCTCCTGCCTCAGCCTCCTGGGTACCTGGGACTGCAGGTATGTGCCACCACACCCAGCTAGTTTTTGTAATTTTAGTAAAGACAGGGTTTCGCTGTGTTGGCCAGGCTAGTCTTGAACCTCTGACCTCACCTGCCTCGGCCTCCCAAAGTGCAGGGATTACAGGCGTGAGCTACAAGGCCCAGCCTTCAAACTAGATTAAACAAAAGAGACATCTTGGTCCCTGCCACTGGAATGTCCAGAGATGATGCTGGCCCCAGTAATAACTTGAACCAGCAGCTCAATGACATAATCGAGAACCAATGTTCTTTTTGTCCCTCACTCTGTGACTGGAAGATTGGCTTCATCTGAAAACCAGCTTTCCTCCTGATTATGTGATGGTCACCAGCCATAGCTGGGGCTTCATGCTTCCGCATGCACAGCCAATGAAGGGAGAGTAGGGAGGTCTCCCTTGAGGTCCAAGTAGGAATACTGACATTCAGTGTGATTGAGTTGGCTTGGGTCATAGACTCACCCTTAACCATGATGCCACCAGGAAAATGGAATGTTTCCTTTGTCTTGGGTAAAACAAGTCCTCCTGCTGAAGCTACAGAGGATCATTTTTCCCCAAAGCACGAGTTGCTCAGGGGAGGGGTTGGATTCTCGAAGGGAAGTGTAAGCACTGCTAGGAAGGTGCGTGGATGCTGGCCAGGTAGCCAGTTAACCAGTGGGCATCTAATAAGTGATATCTGGAATGATGCAAGGAATATGTCAAAAATGCCTCTTCAAATTAAGATTCAACCCAGGGCCGGGGGCGTTGGCTTACGCCTGTAATCCCAGCACTTTGGGAGGCCAAGGTGGGTGGATCACCTGAGGTCAGGAGTTTGAGACCAGCCTGGCCAATATGGTAAAATCCCATCTCTACTAAAAATACAAAAAATTAGTCGAGTGTGTTGGCAGGTGCCTGTAATCCCAGCCACTCGGGAGGCTGAGGCAGGAGAATTGCTTGAACTGGGGAGGAAGAAGTTGCAGTGAGCTGAGATTGCACCACTGCACTCCAGCCTGAGCGACAGAGTGATACTCCATCTCAAAAAAAAAAAAAAAAAAAAAAATTCAACCCAGGATGAATGAAGGTGGAAGAGTGAGAACATGGGATGCTTGGGGCATGGCAGGAATTTTGGTAGGTGTCCTTCATTTCCCAGACTCAGACAAATCTATTAATACAATTCCTTCCTGGCAGCTGTCTCCTGGTGCAGATTCAAGGGAATGTGTATGCAAAGGAAGGAGAAGGAAATTTTAGCCACAAAGCAAAGCTGCAGTTACAGTTGTGCAAGGTCACTCAGAACGGATGCAATTCCTTAGGAAAAGCAAGAGTGTATAAGGAGAGAAGAGGCTGAGACTCTCCGACTTCCAGGACCAACAGAAGAGCTGGCAAAGAAAGCCAAGTGAGGATGTTCATAGGAGTAGGAGGAGGCTGGGCACTGCGCCTCACACCTATAATCCCAGCACTTTCAGAGGCTGAGGCTGGAGGACTGCTTGGGGCCAGGAGTTTGAAACCAGCCTGGACAACATAGTAAGACCCTAGTTCTACAAAAAAATTTAAAAATTAGCCAGGCATGTAGTTCCAGCTACACAGGAAACCAAGGTGGGAGGATCACCGGAGCCCAGGAGGTCAAGCCTGCATTGAGCTATGATTGCACCACTGCACTGTAGCCTGGGCGACAGGACAAGACCTTGCATCTTGGCCAGGTGTGGTGGCTTACGCCTGTAATCCCAGCACTTTGGGAGGCTAAGGTGGGTAGATCATGAGGTCAAGAGATTGAGACCATCCTGGCCAACATGGTGAAAACCTGTATTTTTATCTTGTACTAAAAGTACAAAAGAAAGCTAGGCGTGGTGGCATGCACCTGTAGTTCGAACTACTTGGGAGGCTGAGGCAGGAGAATCAACTGAACCTGGGACTCAGAAGTTGCAGTGAGCTGAGGTCATGCCACTGCACTTCAGCCTGGCAACAGAGTGAGACTCTCTCTCTCAAAAAAAAAAAAAACTCGAATCTTTAAAAAAATTTTTTTTGGCCAGGCACATAGCTCACGCCTGTAATCCTGCACTTTGGGAGGCTGAGGCAAGCAGATTGTCTTAGGTCAGGAGATCAAAATGAACTTGGCCAACATCGTGAAATGCTGTCTCTACTAAAAATACAAAAATTAGCCAAGCGTGGTGGTGGGCACCTGTAATCCCACCTACTCAGAAGGCTGAGGCAGAAGAATCTCTGGAACCGGGAGGCAGCGGTTTCAGTGAACCGAGATCGAACCCGCTGCACTCCAGCCTGGGTGACAGACACTCCAGCCTGGGTGACAGAATGAGATTCCATCTCAAAAAAAAAAAAAAAAAAAAATTAAATAAAGCAAAAGAAGTGGGAGAAGAGCCAGGGAAGGGGGGGGACATCATGGAAGCCAAGGAGGGCATGCACTGCCAGCTCCCTAGGGAGGCTCCAATGATGAGGCCAATGGAAGAAACCTGGAATGAGCCTCCCACAGACTCTGTGAAATGTCCCCAGGGAATGGCTCACTGTAGCCCTCCAGGTTCTCATAATTCCTCTGGCCCAACAAACCTCTGCAGAGCTGGCTAGAGATGCTACGTCATTGGCTGGGGGCCTCCAGAATGAAGTAGGAAGGCTTTGGAAGCCCGGCTGCCTGGAGGAGAGGGATCCCTCTGAGACTGCAGTATCAGAAGGGGTTTTGAACACCAGCTGGAAGCAAGAGGACCAGAGGGAGAGCCATCTGGAATACTTAGTGTTGGGTGGTTGTTGCACACACAGAGACAGTGAGCTTACTCATTGCAGCAGCTGGCATGCCTTACCCAAACCGTCTCTCTCTGATGATACTCCCAAGAGTGGGGTGGAGACTGAGACTGCCTTTGCAAATATGACAGTGAGAGAAATCTGACCTAATTGACTCCATCCTACCTCTAACCTCCAAGCTGCCCTTGTTCATTCCTGGATATTAGCCAAGTTAACTATGGGAGGAATTTCGTTTAACTTTATTAAAAAAAATTTTTTTTTGAGACTGGGTCTCACTTTGTTACCCACGTTGGATTGCAGTGGCCAGATCATGGCTCACTCCAGCCTCCAACTCTTGGCCTCAAGCAGTCCTCTAGCCTCAGCTTCCTGAGTAGCTAGGACTACAGGCAAGTACCGTCA